GTGTAACAAAAGTACTTTGACTCTCTCCTTGCCCTAAAAAAAAACCAAAACAAAACCCCAAAAAACCACCCAAAAAAAACCCCAAGGGAAAAAAGGTTTTGCACACAGTCGTCCAAGAAACAGGACCAAAACATCTCAAGCTGCAAAGCAAGAAGGTCCTCAACACTAATAACTATTACCAAATGCTCTGTAATCTGAAAACTAAAAACAAGAGCAAGTATTATTTCTATTTATATGTCTGTATGTGCTATATTATGAAAACATACTCAAAGGTTTAGTTTTTTCTTTTTGTTTCAGAAATACTCATTAATGACTATGATTCATTGTCCAGATAATATAAACTGATTGGGGAAAAAAGATAAGTTTACAACATTCAATTGTTCTGAATAATGGAAGTTTATTTTTCTCAAGAGTTGGCACATTAATTGGGAAGCCCTTTGATGTTTCTTGGAGAAACAAATCAGTGCTAGTTGGTTTCATCCTTTATTGACAATGGCATTTTGGATGTGGCAGTGTCTGGAAAGCTGTTTTCAGCTGAAGTTGTTGGCATAGTCACAGAACGATGCTATTGTGAAGAAAAAATTATTTCATTTTAAGGCTACTGAAAGCTGCAATGAAATCACAGAAGAAATATTTGCTCATGTTGCAACTTAACATGCTAAAGACCCACAAGGAGATTGCTGCAAAAGGGTATATTTGGACTATCTTGGAAATAAAGTGTTTCTGTTTCACTGCTATCAGGTGCTTTTGTTCCCCAGTAACTTTAAGACATCGGTTTTGTACCGATGAGTCAAATTATTCTTTGTCACTCCCATGACCTCTCTCTTCAGATTGCCCCTAAATTTGCTGCTCAGTTTACCCACCTTTGGTTTTTTAACTGTATCTCTGTGCTATTCCTTCCAAATGCTGAAGAGTAACAATATAAACTTTCCACATTGATATTTGTTACCATCTCTGGCATATTCCTTACTTAAACTTTCTTGGAAAGCTGTACATCAATGCCCCTAAAAAATCATTGTTTGAGGGTCCTGTGGCACCTGTAAGAACCAGAGATATGTGACTATACGTGTATGCATCTTCAATTTCCTCATGTTTTGGGTAGCTCTGTGCAAAATGAAAAACCAAAAACTACTGAAGGTACTCAGAGAGATTTGGGCAAGTCTGTTGGTGTTCTGATATTTCCTGGTAGCAAGCAGACATTTCCTTTTGCAAATTAACACTAAATATAGATGAGGTGTGAAATTCACTGGACCTGAGCACTCTGCACTTGTCCATTACATTCATCATTTCTGTTCTCACTGACCCTTACTAGGGAGTTACTGAGCCCAGTGCCATAATTTGCAGCAAATAGCCCTTATTAAATGAGAAATTGCTTGTGAGAATGATAAATTCATATAGTGATATCTTTCACAAGATCAAATCTAATAAAAGGTCAGCTGGTACAATTTCTTATGTAAATGAGTTTTCCAGATTGTTTCTCTTTCTACTTGTGCTATTGCCTAGGCTGTCATCAGACTTCAAAGAAATTCATTATTCTCCCAGCTCTTGACTTTAAACAAAATGCTTGCTGAACCTAATTGATGCTGCAAAATGTCTCTTTGCAGGGCAAAGAGAATTATGCAAGAGTAATTCAGTCTATTGAGCTACTCACAGCCATTGTGTGTTTGACTGTGCCCTACTGACATTGTGTTTTTTTCCTGAAAAATATTGGAAATCATTTTCACTGATGGAACTGATGGGGAATAATGAATCAATCACATGAGAGAGAGTGGATTCAGCAAGCTCAATGCAAACTATTGTGAAAAGTTTTTAAAAGTCTTTTTGTCCACAAAATGTCTGGGTTTTTTTTTTTTCCCTTCTCCTCAAGGTTATTCTGAAAGTAAATATTTGAGGCTGGCATGCAGTCTTGACTATTCTGAGAGCCAATAAGAAAGAAACAAAAATATCTACAAGCAAGCAAGAGGAATGAGTAAGGGAAGGTGAAGGCAGGTGCAGTGAGTTGTGTGGATTCCAGGTAAGCTGGTGTAGAGTTTTTACATCTGCTCCTGTAAAATGGCAGCTTTGGGTCTGAGAGACCCTGATGGGTCTTTTGGATTAAATGGGGAAACAGAATCGTTGCCAGCTTCTTTCTCTTTCACCCTGGCAATGCACAGGAGCAAACACTTTGTGCCAGTCAGCAACAATTCCTGCAATGGAATTAAAATGCTGACCATCCTGTAGAGGTTTTAATTTTGGCTAATGCTGAAGTGTGCCCTGGTAGGATTTGATCCCATCAGTGCCATATTGAGCTCCACTAGTTACAGTGCCCATGTTCTGAGGCCTTGCCCTTGTTTCCATTCTAAATCCTGCTTCTGCATGAATGAATGCCTCTCATTTATTTTGGTTACAATTTGCCTGTCTGGTCTTGGTCCATGAACAACTCACAGTCCAATGCTCTTCAGTGGTTTGGTTCATACAGAGCATAAATCTGAGTAAATTTTAGTTATTTTTTCTTGAATTAGTAGAGCATAAATTGTTCATAGTCCAGCTATTGATTTGGAATGTCAGCTAATTATACCTTGGTCCTTATTATACTAGTGATTGAGAAAGCTAATGGACTACATTCCTGTCTTGGTTTGGCAGCATGTAAAGGCTAAGCATTAAATGGCAACTATGGTTTTAGAGTGAGATTCCTTGATAACAATGGTTTTTATGCATATATAATGTTTTTTATAAAACAATACTTACAATGTTTTTCATTTAAGAAGATGTAGGAGGGAAGAGGAGTTCTGTTATCAGAAATGTTTCCAGCACAGATTCAGACCCCACACTGAAGTTCAAATTAAGTCCATGGGTAACCCCAATGTCTTAGGTACTTTAATTCTCAAATAGATCCATTCAAGACAATTTTGGAATTTCCATCCCCCCCCCCCACCATCTACCAGAGCAATCTTTGTGCTCATGACTGCTGTAATACCTTCATGTGCAAGGTGCTGTGATATCTTTATTTTCTGATTATTACCATTTCTCCTCTCCTTGTAGTCTTAAAAAACCCCCAAACCTTTAAAACTGATGAGAATCAAACAGCAGAATACGGGGAAAAAGTTTGTGCCTTTCTACCAATTCCCTGGCAAATGAGATACAGTACAAGCACAGTAGTACTTGAGCCTTGGTTTTTCAGACAAAGGCTGTGAGAACAGCAAGTGGCACGACATGAATCTGTTCTTGTGTCAATTCCTTCAGTGAAAATGGAGCACAGTGGTGCTGCAGCCCCTGAGCACCCTCGGGATGGTCAAGAGCTGCAGAAGCAGGAGATGACCTGTTCCAGAACACCAGTTCCTGAAAACTGCTCTGCTGAGCTCAGGCACGTTCTTCTGGCTGTGAGGGGCTCTAAGACAGGGATGTTTGTTAGCAACTTTAATAGAATTGAGAGACAAAGGATCTAGAGGCACTAGGGGACATGGCATTGTGGAGGAAGTGCACAGTGAGCCTTGTTTGTGGGGTTTCTGGATTTAGAATTCAGCATTCAGTGAAGGCAGTAACCAGGCTGAACCATGAGAAATACCATACTCTCCAGGCAGAAAAAACCACAAAAAGAGCAGGTAATTTGACTCACCCTTCCGATTTCGGGCTTGCTGCTCTTCCTTTACAACAGCAGGCTGCATAAGAATTCATGAGACTAACCTGCTGCTAAGCCATCTCTCACAGCTCTTGTTAAAAACTGACACCCCTGTCAAGGGGCAGATAAGAAGCACAGGTCCTGCTGTGACCTGTGAGGCTGCATGATCATGTAATTTTGTGTGCTGGAGTCCCTTTCACTTGTTCTCTCACTTAACCAAGACAAAAAGCTTAAAAATCTTGCCTTGATGTACAATCTGATTTTTCTCTTTGCTGTCTTCTGAAATTGGGTATGCTGGGTGTGAAACACTTGCTGGCCTTTCAGAAGTAAACCCTGTCCCAGTGACAAACAATTGTGATTCTCCTGGTTAGATGCTGAAATCAGGTCACCCAGTGAGCAATAGTTACTGAATTAACCCTTGGGCACTTAGTGCCTGAGAACTTAAAATTTTATTTTAAGTAGTTATTTAGTGATCCCTAGTTTCCTAGGGATCAATAAATAAAGCAATACTTACAAGTTTTGTCATTTAAGAAGATGTAAGAGGGAAGAGCGGTTCTGTTATCAAAAACGTTTCCAGCACAGATGCAAACCTCACACTGAAGTTGAAGGTCCGTGGATAACCCAATGTCTTAGGTACTTTAATTCTCAAATAGATCCATTCAAGACAGTTTTGGAATTTCTCTACAGGAACCAAAGTCTTCTCACCACTCAAAGCTCACCCATCCTTGGCCGCAGCCTGATTTTACATACATATACATACATTTATATATATATATATGTATATATGTATATGTGTGTGTGTATTTCTATCAAACCATCAAAGTGTTTTCTATCTGCTGAGAAGCTGTGAAAGACAATGCATAAGGAGAGTGTAGAGAGTGTAGAATGGGTAAAGATTAAGTCACACAGCAGCTGAGTTTGAAAGACATTTTCTGTCTTTTAATCTGTCCACTCCTCCACAATAGTCTCTCAAGTACCATATTTAATGCTGACTCTGAGAGTCCACTGGTGCAAAGAGGGTGACTATCTTGGTTAAAGTGACAGTGGGCAAGTCCTGCTCCACATGTTGGCTCTTTACAGTGCACAGAGCAGTGGAGGAGGTTGGCTGGGGGCTGTACCTGCCTCAAAAAGGCTTAATTATACAAGAAATATTGAACCAGTCCAAAAAGGGCACGCGGAGGTGTGTCCTGGGGCTCTGTGTAACACAGTGCACCGTGGTCACCGTGGGATGGAACAGGCCAGAGCGTGCAAGGGTGACCCTTTGTGACACGTCGTGCTGTAGGTGCTGGTGACACCACGGCCACGCCACAGTGCTCAGTGCACACTGTGGAACAGAGCAGTGCTGTGAGGAGTCCCCACACAGCCACGTTGTTCCTTGCTTTTCCAGGCGTTCTCTGTGGAGGTCACCTTGAGGCCACACTGTGGGTCTCAGTGACCCAGAGCCTTCCCAAGGTTTCTCTGCTGCAGGTGCCCTGAAGGGCAGTGTGTCAGACTTGCTGACCAGAGCCTTTACAAAATGTTTCTTGTCACTGTGGCAGGAGGCCTTCAGGCCAGGCTGCAGGACTTAGTGTCCTGCAGCTGTTCCAAGCCTTCCCTATTGTAGCTTTCTTCAAGGCACAGCTGCAGCCCTCACTGCCCTGCAGCTTTCCCAAGGCGTCTGTCCTGCAACTTGCCCTTAATCCCGACATAGACATGGCAGAGAGACCTCCCAACACACCCAAGAAGGTGGAGAATTGCCCTTGTGGCGCCGCACTCCAGCGACGTGCTGACTTGGAGCAGCTGCAGCTGCTGCAGAAGAGTGAGTGAAAGAGCTGGGCCACAGGGCTGGCCTGCAGCCAGCTCCACCCTGCCCCATCCCATCCCATCCCTTCCCTGCGGACATGCCCATGGATAGGACAGAAGAGGGGCTGGGGCATCCTGGGGCTGTCCCTGCCTGGGAGACTGCAGGGCTGGGCTGTGCTCTCTGGCCTCTCCTGCAGCTCCTCAGCTCTGGCATTCCTTGCTCTTTGCCAGATGCAGCCAAGGACCCGGCACAAGGGCTGGATCCTGCCCGTAGCTGCTGGCGCTCTGTAGGCCAGGTACTGAGAGCCATCCCCTCCTTCTGAGCCGAGCATCAGCACTGCAGCACTGCACGGATCATGCCTCTCTTCCCCGTTGTTCCTTCTTTTGCAGAAGTTCGCGAACCTCGCTTGGTGTCGAGAGATGATCAGCATGTTCACCAAGGGTGCAGCAGAGGCTGGCCCCACAGCCCCTCAGAGCATACCTCCTGCTCCCAGCCTGGATCAGTTTGGGGAGAGAGTTGTCTCCAGTCCCAGTCAAGTAAGCAGCCTGTGGCCGGGGCTGGGTGTCCCCAGCAGTGCCGTGGCGCCTCAAGCCTTTGAGGCCGGCCCAGTGTGGTGGCAAGGGAGGCACTTCTGAGGGGAAGCTGGGCAAGCTGCTGCTCTGGCAGCTCTGCAAGTCTCCCTGTGCCTCGTGCAGGTGCCAGGCTTTGTCAGGAACATGCACCAGAGGCTGGCGTCCAACGAGCCTCCAGACGACTGGCTGTTCATGGACATCCTGCGGCTGACCGAGGAACAGCCCACTGATGTGGCAGTGACCCTGCTGCGGTGTGCCCCGACATGTGACAGGTACAGGGCCCTCCTGCCTTGGGGGCTCAGGCCTAGCCCTGTACAGCCAGTGCAATGGGCTCTGCTGGACAGGCAGAGAGTTCCAGGAGCCACTGGAGCCTCCATTTCCCAGCGCTGGCTTGTCAGCCCACAAGCCTCCTGACGTGCTCCCTGCCTACCCCTCAGGGCACTGTGGCTCTGCCATCTGGGCCCTTGTGGCTGCCCAGGCCACAGTGCCCTGGCTGAGACCCCCGTGACACCCAGCCCTGGTCCTGCAGAGCTGCCGCAATCATGTGGAAGACCATCGCCTCGTCAGGAACGGCAACGGAAAAGGTGCTGCCCACACTGCTGTGTGTGATGGACGGCTGGCCCATGCAGAAAATGTACACGGCTGATGGGGACAACAAGGAGGTCTTTGCCCTGGCTGTGAGTTTCCATAGCTGGCCTTTGCTTGTACGCAGGTTGCTGCTCCAGTGCCTCTCCGTCCTCTGCCCCACTGCAACATATCTGCCTGCCTCAGGCACTGGCCTGACACCTGGCTTGGGGGCAGGGTTCCGGGACACCAGGCCGGCTGCTCCCCCTGTGTCTCCCCTGGCCTCTCCCTTGTATGCTCAGGCCTTGCCACTCCATGTTGAGTGCTGTCTCTGGATGGTTTATCCTTTGCAGGCAACCAGGGTGATTTGGGAGATTCTCCGCCTGCCCTGGTGCCCAGAGCCGTTTGTGGAATATTCCCCCCATCTCCTTGTGGCTCTGCTGTACCAAGTTCACACCAGTACGGAGCAGATGTCAGAAGAAGTAAATACTTTCTGGAAGAAATGTCAGGAGGAAAATGGCATTACCGCCAACCCCAACAGGTGCTCCATGCCCATCCTCCTGTCACTGCCACGTCCCCAGGGCTGCAGGCTGGGGTCCCAGCATAACCTGGGCTTTGCTCTGCACACAGCTTTGTAGTGGGCACTGTGAAGTCATTGCTGTACCATCTGCAATGTCTGAATTTACTGATGGCTCTGGAACGGAAGTGTGCCTGGGACACGCTGCTCCGTGCTGAAACCCACCACTATGCAATGGGTCTGCTGGCCAGGTGAGACCTCGTTCTGCCCACCGCCCCTCTCCTTTGTGCCCGCATGGCCCCACACAGTCCCCGCGGTCATGGGTGGCAGGGCCTTGTCCCCAAGGGAGGGATGAGCGGACTGGAAAAGGCCGGCACAGGAGGGTGCCCGGGAACAGCCGCCTCCCAAAGCGCCCCCGGGCTGCTCGGGAGCAGACCAGAGCTCTGTGAGTCGGCCCTGGGACAGGTTTGCCCTCCCGGCCCCGGAGCACCAGTGCCTTTTTCTCCCCGCCAGGGAGATGCGCCGTGTCTGCCAACCTTTCTGCTCCTGCATCGCACTCCGCCTGCTCTGCCGGCTCAGCACGGAGGAGCCATGCTGGGAAATGGGCTCCCTGGCGTTCCTGGTGGAGGTGAGCGCCACGGCCAGCGCTGCCTGGCTGAGCTGCCTCCCAGCCCTCTCGGAGCCGCAGCTGCCTGGGACGCTGCCCGTGCCCTGTGCTGCTGCCTTGGCTGGGCCCTTGCACTTCTGAGCTCCTGCCCGCTGGGCACCTCTGTGCCTGCTCTGTGCCTTTCAGGTCCTGGATTGCCTGGATTTGAATGAATGGGGTAACAACATCCTGGAGATCTTGACCAAGCACCTGCTGAGCGAGTCCATGGAGATGCGACGCCTGGCCCTCAGAGGCCTCGTGAGGCTCAGCAAAGACCCCTCAATGGTGAGAAGGAGGCAGCAGCTGAAGCTGTGCTGGCAGCGTGGGGCTGGGGCAAGCAGCCCCTTGGGCCTGGCTGGGCTTTGGCAGCTGTGGCAGCTGCTCCCAGCTCTCCAGGATCGCTGTTCAGCTGCCTGAGTGCTTTGGGGCAGGCCTTTGGCCTCTGTAGACTCCATGGCAGGCCGGTGGGGTTGCACTGGTGGAGCAGTGCTGGTGGTGAAGCTTCTCATGGATTCACAGCACAGCCTTGTGTTCCACATAGGCCAAAAAAATGTGCAGCCTGTCTGAACCCCTCATGGATTTCCTGAGGAATGAAGACATAGAGGTGGTCAAGATGAGTCTGTCTGTGTTCACAAATATACTCGTGAACAAGGATATCCTAACATCCTGCCCCACAGCCCCCAAACTGGCTGCCGCGCTCCGGCCCCTCTTTGACAGCGTAAGGCTCTGTGCCCCCGGCCATGGCCCCTGGCTGCTGCCCACAAGTGTGGTGCCCTGTGGCCTGTTGGGCCTGGAGAATCCAGTGCTGAGTTTTTCCTTTCCAACAGGACAACAATGAAGTGCAGTGGCTCTCCATTGGCCTCTACAAAGATGTGATGGAATCGGTAGTGGAAAGGGGAAAAAAGGCCCTGAAGCCTCATGTGAGCGAGAGCCTGCTTCCTCTCTTTTTCCACTGCTACGACGAGAACCGGCGTGTGGCACAGGTGAGGCCTCCTGGGTGTCCCCTTGGGAGGGGCTCAGCTGTCTGCCCAGCCCCTGGCACCTGACGGGCTCCAGCCTCCTCCTGGCCTTGGCACAGAGATACGGCTCCTGTGCCCTGGGCCGCGGTGCCATCTCTGGCTCTCTGCTGCCCTGCAGACCTCTCGGGAAACGCTGCTCTCTGCAGTAAACTTCCTGAAGAGAAGGGATCTCAAACAGCTGCTCAAGTTGGATGACCCGTGGAGCTTTGCCGAGCACGTGGTAAGGACAGGCTGGAATCCCCAGGCCAATCCCCGGAGAAGCCGCCTGCCCAGGGTGCCCAGTCTGTGGGGCTGGCAGCTGTGGCCCCTGCCCAGTGCCGCAGGCAGGGCCACCAGCCTGCGCCCCACACGCCGCTCCCTTCCCTGGGCCGTGCGGGCTCTTCTCCGGGCCCCTCTGGCCCCGAGGCCGGTGCCGAGCAGCCGGGCCTCAGGGCTCGGTGGGCCGGGAGGGCCGTAGGGAGCGCCCGGCCCGGGGGCAGGGCCCGCATCAGCCCTTTCCCTCCGTGCCCTGCCGCTCTCTGCAGCTGGCAGAGGACAGGAGCCGAGCGGCCGAGCACCTGCGCCAGGCCCTGCCGTACCTGCAGAGCCCACAGGAGCCCGTGCGAGAGGCGGCCGTCAGATCCATTGGTGAGCCACCAAGCCGGCTCTCGCTCCCTCCCTTCCCCGTGGCCTCAGGGTCCGGGCCAGGGGCCGTGACGGGCTCTGTGTTCCCAGGGACCGCCGGGATGCTCATGAGAGGACAGCGGGAGGAGCTGCAGCTCATCTGTGAGGGTGAGTGAGGCCGGCGGGGTGTCTGTCTGTCTGTCCGCGGGAGCTGCCAGGGGAAGCTGCACGGGGTGTCTGTCTGTCTGTCCGTGGGAGCTGCCAGGGGAAGCTGCACGGGGTGTCTGTCTGTCTGTCTGTCCGCGGGAGCTGCCAGGGGAAGCTGCACGGGGTGTCTGTCTGTCTGTCCTGGGAGCTTCCAGGGGAAGCTGCACGGGGTGTCTGTCTGTCTGTCCGCGGGAGCTGCCAGGGGAAGCTGCACGGGGTGTCTGTCTGTCTGTCTGTCCGCGGGAGCTGCCAGGGGAAGCTGCACGGGGTGTCTGTCTGTCCTGGGAGCTTCCAGGGGAAGCTGCACGGGGTGTCTGTCTGTCTGTCTGTCCGTGGGAGCTGCCAGGGGAAGCTGCACGGGGTGTCTGTCTGTCTGTCTGTCCGTGGGAGCTGCCAGGGGAAGCTGCACGGGGTGTCTGTCTGTCTGTCTGTCCGTGGGAGCTGCCAGGGGAAGCTGCACGGGGTGTCTGTCTGTCTGTCTGTCTGTCGGGGGAGCTTCCAGGGGAAGCTGCAATCCCTGCCCCGGCTGCGGCGGCTCCGCTCCTTGTGCGCACGAGGGGCAGCGTCGGGAGAGCACGGAGCCTTTTCAGAGATGTCATTTGTGGCCAGCACCTTCTAGCTGATCCTTGCTGTATCCTGCTTCCTCCAGGCCGTGGCAAGAGCTGAGTGGGCTGGTCCTTTCAGGGGCTTTCCTCACTCTGGCCGTGGCTCTGTTTGTTTCAGCCCTTCAAGCCCTTAACACAGATGAGAGCCCCTCCAACACAAACCTGATCGTTCAAGTCATGTTGGATGAAAGAGCTACATCACTAAGTTCATCTTCTGGATTGAAACAACCAGGACAGCAGCAGATGCCATGCAGGAGGAAACAAGCTGGAGATCAGAGGGGAGCAGCTGGAGCTCCAGGCCCAGCTAATGCTGGGCAAATCTGACCTCACCTTCCCTCTTTACTGGTCCCTCCCTGCGGCCCTCAGAACCTGCCTGTTCCCTTCTCCCAAGCTTTGCCATGAATAAACATTTCAGCTTCTTCACCTCATTTGTATCTTTGTGGAGCTGAAGTGGATCAAAACCTGAGCCCTGGAGCACACAGGCCCCGTCCTGCCGGTCTTTTCTGTGCTGCGTTTTGTGCAGAGAAGCAAAACACATCAGGCTGGAAAGGTCCCTGCCCTGGAGGTCTGGTTTCACAACACTGTGAAAGACCTAAGGGTCTTGCTGAGCACACTGAAGGTCAGCAGTAGGATACAGAGCCTGGATTTCAGAAGAGTCAACTTCAGTATTTTCTGAATCCAGCCGTGAGGGATTCCGTGGCAAGCATCCACTGGGGGCAAAGGAGCTTGGAATGCTGGAAGTTATTCAAGAACAGGTTCCTTGAAAGCACAGCAGTGGTCCTTCCCTACAAAAGGGGGAGCAAGAGGGCAGAAGCAGAGATGCCCCTGATTTCTAGTGAGCTTTGGGTGTGCTAAAGAGGAAGCAAATGAAGCAGCAGTACAGGTGTGTGGAGGGATAGAATTTAAGAGAACAGTGCAGAAGGTAATCTCACACCTGGGGCGTTGCAGCTGTACTCATCAGCAGAGATTAGGAACTGCCCTGCCCTTCATGGGCCACAGCTGTGTCCAATAAGAAGAGTGCTACAAAAGAGTGGGTTAGCTGGGTGAGCCCAGAGTTGGAGTTGGTTGCTTGTGCTGAGAAGGAGTCAGTGCTGTGAGGAGCTGACCAAGAGAAATCACCCAGAAGGTATGGGAGCTTAATGATAAGATGACAGCAGTACTTTAGCTCAGACCTTTGCTGTATCTACTTGGAAACTGGGATTTTTGCCCCACCTTACAGCTGTGTACCTTGGAAGCCCCTCATGGCATTAAAATTGTCCTAACTGGATTAATTGTAATAATGGTGAAATTAAACTCTCTGAAACACAGCAAGGAGATCAGCTGGCTTGGAAAGTTTGGCAATTTTGGAGCACTTCATCCTTTTCATAGCACTGCTTGGTTTCTCTCCTTCAGAGCTGACACTCAGGTGTTTGTTCTGCTTTGGTTTGTAATACATCTTCTGAAGGAAGGTGTGCCAAAGGGCTCCTCCTGATTTAGAGATCAAAGCCAGGACCTATCCAATGTGCTGATGAAAACCTCAGTTCAGTATATAAAAGAAAAAATGTCTCAGCCAGCAATAGTTTTCATGTAGAATGCAAAGCAAGGTGGTTGATGCATCTACAGCACAAATTAATGCATTTTATCAACTGGGCTGACCTCAGGAACATTAAAAGAAATGCATTGTGCTGCTGCAGTGAGTTTTGAGCAGTCCTTTCAAATAGTTTTCATGTGTGATCCTCCTTAGAATATGAGATGTTCATTTTGCTCAGTTTCATTTAACATGGCAAATAAGTTAAGGCATTCAATTCTAAAGTGAACTTTTCATAGAGTATCAAAGTGCTGCTAGTAAATTAAAATTACTCAATCTAGTGCATAATGAAGAGCTGTAATGCTCTGAATAAATCCATTACTCAAATGTGTACTCTAATGAAGGTATAAGTCATTAGTGTTTGCCTGACTCTTTTTATGTGGTTGAAATTAACAGCAATGTAAGCCACATTGCAAACACTAAAAAAAAAATCCCAAATATTTCTAAATTAGGATTGAGAAAATATTATCTGTAAAGTACACCATGGATAATCTGTGTGGATAAAATTTCATCTGCAAATGCAAAATGTAGCTTCTTTCAATTTTTTTTCTTTATTTTTTTTTGTACACAGCAGAGAAATAGAAAACCTCCTAAAAGCTCTTCCTAAAAGATCATATGGCACCAGTTGGAATTTAGTCTATCAAAAGTGCTTCTCATGGTACATAAGGAAGTGTGATATCCCATTAAAACAGGGGAGAATATTATTAATCTCTATTAAAAAGACTACTGAAATGGAGTATGATATCCTGCCAGCTGTGGCTTAGAACTTTTTCTTCTTTCATTTGAATTAGAAACAGGAAAAGCCATAATCAGAGCAGGGCATGGAAGTGGTGGAGAAGGAAGTAATTTAGAAGTGTTCTCTTTCATTTTTCAAATCTGAAGGACCTGAGGGATTCAGCTCTTGGTTTAAACAAGAGCAGCCATCTGACATTCTGTAGCTCTCCAGAAAATGCAAGTCAAAAAAGTCTGGGCTGTGGGAATAAAAAGTATGGGTGGCTTTTTTCCATTTTGTCTCATTTTGATTTTTAACATGTGGGAATTTACCAATGCAGGGAGATTTCCTCCATGCTCTGTAGCAGATGAGTTATATGGCATATCAAAGGGCTGACCCTGAATCTGTGAGTCTGTATGTTCAGCAGGAATGGTTTATACACATTTTGGTTATGGCACATCATGGTTCTTGCTATCTTCTATGGCATTAGAACAGATACTTAAGTGATTCTGGGCCTCAGCTGCAGCCAATACAAAATGCTGATGGAAATCTGTTCCCCCACAGAGTCATAACACCACTCCTGAGAATATCCGCGTTGAGCATTTTCAAGTGCACAGACCAAACATCCCAAAGGGAAAGAGCAGATTTTATTGCAGTCCTGTGGCAATGCCAGAGGTCTGAGATTTACTTTAGTTGTCAAATTTTCGTTTGGTTGGTACTTATTCAGCATTCCTGGAATAATCAGATAATTTCTCTGCAAAGCCCCAGTATCCTACATCTTATATCAAAATATACCTCAGTGCACAGTGCTCAAAATAAAGATGTAACACCACAGGTCAATTCAACCTATGAGAAGGTGCACCAAAAAAAAAAAAAACAAAAGCCTTGGGGCTCCTAAACTCAGTTGTGTGAGATAGTTTGCTGGGTTTCACACATTGTTACTCTTAGAGTTTAATGGTGTATTTCCACCCCATGCCACAGCTTTCCATTAAAATACCGAGCTGATGGCAGTCAGTGGAGCTCAGGGTTGGGCTGGGTCACTTCTGTGACAGGGGACTTTACAAGCAGGGCCACCAAGGCCAGCAGCTGCACAGGAATCAGTTACAGACCAGGGGCCTGGCACTGCTGGGCTTACCACTCCTCGTCTTGAAGCTAAATATCAAAAATTAATTCATTATTAATTAATTATTCTGTAATTTTGTGGCAAAACCCTGGGGAGAGTGGGACAGTAGGGAGAAGGGGAAGGGAGAACTGAGGGTGGTCTTGCAAATGTAATTAATGGTGTTTGCACATATCCAATAGTCAATAAAGAACAGAAAAAGCCACTCATGTTCCAATATCCTTTTACAGGTCATCATAACAGCTTTACCTATTTGAAGATGTACATCTGTGGGGTTTTCAAGCTCAGTTAGAAGCACCTTTCTACCAAGACTGCAGAACTGCTATTGGTAAAGGATGCAAGTACCACATGGGGAAAAAAAAATCACAGGTAGTGTTCCCCTTCCATAATAAGCTGAGCATCATGTTAGTGCTCAGAGCTGTGAACATTTATTTCACTTTATTATTGCAGCAGAATGCCAAATTAAGATTTTTTGATAAACTATTTATTTATATATAATGACAAGTAATCCTGGGCTAAAATATATTTGAGAAGACATTTGTTTTGTGAGCATTCAGAAAGAGAAAGTGTTTCACTGGAATGTTGAAGCAGGATGTAGGAGCTGATTAGAGGTGCCTGCCACGTTGCCTAGGCATGCCCTTGAAGAACTTGGGGAATTTGGAGAGTTGTAATGCTACTGACATTGTATCTGGCAGTGTGGTAAGTCAGAAACCAACATTATACACACCACTTGTTTTTCAGTTTGGTGCTTCACCTTTTATCTAAGGTATGATTAGGAAAACCAAGAGCAACCCCTTCCTTTCCAAAAAACAAACCAATCACCTCTACAGCTATATAAATATAAAGATATTTATCTTGAGCAAAGTATTTTCCTCTGAATAATAACCAGCATAATAATTTGTCATTCATTTTAGTGATTTTTTAATTCCACTCAAATCTGAGCTTCTGATACAAATTGTTTAGATCAAGGAGTAAACTTGTATTTCTAATGGATTACTTGTGAGCAGAGCAGGCAATAAGATGAATAATGGAGGGGAATCTTTAAAAATTGCAAACTGACCTTTGAAATGTCAGAATTTGGATGTTTCCTGTAATCAGCATTCTGTGATAAATGAGAGCAGTAAATGTAAAGATCCTTGGTTCAAAGTGTGTGTAATCGAAATCCAATGAGAGATCGATGGCCTTTGGGTGACCTTTTCTGAAAAGGTCAAATGACAACATTTATGGGAAACTTTTCATGTGCTTGGAGGATGATTATAAATGGGTTTATTGCATTCCAGTGTTCTGCTTATAGAGGGAAACTCTGCCTATTTGTCTGGGGTCTATATATTTGTATGAGCATATATGTCAGTCATGTCAATTTTATACATATTTTTATGTATATACATAGCCTGACATATTTATATCATTTGAATTTTTAAGTTAATACTATTACAAAATAATATAAATGAGAGAAATGCTACTACATACAAATAAAATCTCACCTAGTTATTTTTAAGGAAGGCAACAGGAAGATCGAAGATGACTTCAGTGGAAAATTGGTTCCATTCTGCCAATGGTGACAACAGCTTGGAAATAAAATAACAAAAGCTCCTATCACAAGTGATCAAAGAGTAAGTCTCTCTCTCTCAGAGACACCTTTTAGGAATAAGTCCACTGACACATTTTTTTCTGGGTAGCTGTTGGAGAATGTTTTTGTGCTGATCTTACACACCAAAATGTCTAAAATGGTCCAAAATTAAATTTGACACCATCATCACCAGAGCACCAACTTTTTGATATCTGCCTTGCAGTTTTGTATTTCACATTATAAAAAAATGTTATTTATTTGCCTGAATGCTTGATGTAATTTTTTTTCCTGAAATTATATATGTTCAGCTTTCTGTGAGGGCCTGAACTACCTGATTTTCTTTGTAACAATTTAG